ATTTATTTGTTTCAAATTCATTACTCTTCACAATACAAACAATCGTTATATTTTTTTTACCGAATAAATCTTGTAAATAAATTCTCCGTCAGATTTGGTTTAACCCATTCCAGTCAATAATGTGCATCATGCGTCTTTAGTTAACGAATACTTGGTCTTGTTAGCCACAAATTTCCCGCCTAATTTGCAAACGCGATTAGAACCCATGCGGTTTATAACTGCAACGGCCCCCAACTTACAATCTGCCTGATCAGCAGTATAAACGACATGATAAACATGCAAATAAATAGCAACACGGAGGGGGAAATCAGCGCAAATAGAACGGGCTCTGTCGCGCCCGTCACACGGCTAGCTAGCAGGAGCGGGGAAGCTTTCCCCCGGATGCGGTCTCCATGACGACAAAGTGACGGCGTGTGGTACGGAACCCGAAGCTTAACTACGTTTGACAGGCGAACTGCATCATCGGGCCAGCTACTCGGGACATGGACAGTGCACACACGGTGCATTTTTGTTTCCTATTTGTTTCTTTCCCGTTTTTTCCCCTCCGAGTTGAAAAAAAATATCATCCGAGGAGCCCCGTCCCCCTGCGCGGCGGCCACGGGTCAAAAATCAAGACGCGCGCGCTAGTCCGTGACTCGACACGGGGTATAAGTCATTTGCGATGAAGTTAGTTTGTAGTAACAATTTCTCTTGATTTCGAAAAATAACACTGGAGACTTCGTAGTTCTTGTCATGGAATCATTTATGAATGTCATACTTGCTTCGACACGAATGTTATTGAAGCTGATTTTTCTCCTGCAAATTAAATGTGATGAAAAATATATTCATTGCTTGGAAGTTGTACACAGTTACGATTGTTTTTCCAGGTGATTTTGAATTCAACACGGATATAACATTAATATTGGATTTAATTATGTCCTCGATTCAATCATTTTCTTTTTTCCCCTGTTATTTGTGGATAATAAGACATTGGACATTTCGCATGTGAATCTTATCCCAAGGTTTGATTAAATAAAACATATGAAAAAAAAACATTTCTCAAGAACAATTCTAATAATTGTTGCGGTCAAAGATTTGTTACAAGTAATTCCATTGCAAAAAAAACCAGAACCTGAATAACTTACCATTTGTAACATAACCATCTTTGTTTCATCGTATATTTCCAACGAAATTTACTGTGAAAATGCATCTATTCTCCATTAACCCAAGGATATACATTCTGGTTATTCCGAATGATATTCAAATGTTATTTGATTTCGTGCTGGCAAGGCCGAAGCGACAGGCGTTACGTAATATTTGCGTTTCTGACTACACATCTCCCACCGCTCACTGCATTAATGAATAGTTTGAGCTTGCTATTACCGTTAATGAAGATACTTTGTGGCTACTAAGTGTATAAATTAGTTAGACAGATCTAATGAATTGTACGAAATTTCCCCGTGTTTCTCCATCATATTAGGGATAATTATTGGTACAAACTCGATCCGATTAGTATATTTCTGCAAATCTATGTAATTCGCGATCGCCTTTTGGTCGTGAAATGCAAAAATTGGAAAGAGTGTGGCGGTGACAGTGTCGGCTGTGACAGCAGTAAAAAGAAATGTCATTGGGGATTTTTACGTTGATTAATGATTGAAGTGATGGACTACACTCTTGAACAACATAAATAAAATGTTGCCAGATTTCTATGGTTCTAAAAAAACTGATCTACGATCGCTGCGAGACAATCGTTTTGGCTTTCGACATGATTTCCGACCACAGCGAATGTTTTCCACTCAATAATTCTTAGTAGAAATATGAATTATGCCTTTGACCGATTTCATTTGTACTCGACTGATGCTAGACGCCAGTTTTAAGTTTGTTTTTCTAGCTAGTTCTGACGGTTACAGAGATGGATGAGACGATGAAAATGTTTACATTATAATGAAGACGACGATGACAACAAATATTCAATTGATCGATCAAAGACTATTGATGGAAGAACGACAATGATTCAACATTGCACTCAAAAGTTACAATCATCATCAGGCTAGAGTTCATCCATTTGTTGGACAAATCCCTCCTCGTGAATGCACCATTCCTCTCTCTGTCTACCAATCTTGTCCATGTTACCGTACCATGTGTGTTGTGATGTCATCCCTACATCTTTCTTTTTCCTTCCTCTTCTTCGTTTGCCTGTTCATGGTTGCCAATCTGTCAGCTTTTTGAGTCCATGTGTTGTCTTGAAATTTTGCTACACGTCTTGCCCACTTCCATCTCTCTGACCTTCTCAGTGATGTCCTTGACTTTTGTTTCTTGTCTTATTTCCTTTAGGTTGACATTATCTCGTAATGTTAAAAGCAACATTCTCCTTTCCATTGCCCGCTGTGTTGTGATTGCCTTTAGATTAAGCTCTTTAGTGGTAGACCAGTTTCTGCTCCATAGGTCATGGTTGTTAAAATGCATTGGTTGTACACCCTACGTCGAAGTCACATTGGTGTATTGTTGTTTGTCAGTCAAAACATCTTTGTGCTCTTCCAGCCTGCTTTGATCAGCAACATCATTTCTTCTCTTGTAGTGTCCTCCATTTTGAAAGTTTCTCTCAGGTATTAGTTACTGTCCACTTTCTCTAACTGTTGACCTTCTATATGGTTATGTCTTCTTGTGTTTCCAAGTTTGTCATTTATTTAGTTCTGCCCTTGTGCATGAATTGCACATAGGCCTATGCCCATGGGCGTCGCCAGGATATTTTCCAGGGGAGCAAAGCAAAGTTTCCCAAAATTCCTTAACTTTTTCATTATATTCTCAATTTATCATTTTTCCGAGCGTGAGCAGCGGAGCATTTGCCCAACCCCCCCCCCCCAACCATCAAATTGCAATATGGCTTCGCACCACTTTTCCCTCCCCCCCCCCCCTCTTTTCCCCCTTGTCCCCCCCCCCCCCTCGTGACGCCCATGCATATGCCTACCAATCTCTACAAGGTGTTCGCTTGCTCCTTACAGTCCTGTCCATAATGAACTTTTGCTTACAACGTGTTCCTCTTTCCTCGTATTTTCCCCAATTTGCAAAAAAAAAGGTTGTTGCTAATTGAAGGAACAACAATACAATACATTTGAAGCAGGTTGTAGAAAAACTAACCTGTCGAAGCTTCAGCTAAGTAGGCCTAGATATCATTTTTTATATCATTTTTTAAAGAAAACTATGAATATTCATCTTTATTTTTTATTGACGCAAAGCATAGCGTTTCTTGGAAAGCGCGATGGTTTGGTCCTCACCATCGCGAGGAAATGATGGTTATTCCTCTTTTCTCGAAAATGACAGCATGATTTCAAGGGATGCTTGATCCTAATATTTCCTGACAATCAAGTTTGATATTTCATGATATTTCGACAGTTTCGTCTTTGAATGTTTGCAAATGGTGTTCATAACCTTTAAACAAAATACTGACCAGCATTGTTCCTCAGTTGCGTGTGGCCCGTCAGACGATACATGTATTTCATGTATTTGTACATGTATTTCACATGTACATGCAATGGCAGGGAAACATGGTTTCCCTTCAAGAGAAGGGAAACCTACGAGTGAACACCCAGCTTCGCCCGTTGAATTTCCCACGAGGATTAGAGAAATCAGGAGGAAAATAGTGGAAATAATAGCTGAGACTTTAGTGACAGTGCAATCAGCTGGTCACCATACAAAACAATTCGTTGGGAAGTGTTGATACTAAGACGAACGCGTCGTGAGCAGAAGTCCCGAAGAAGGGCAGGATTGTAATGAGTGAACGAACACCTTGTACAGATTGGTTGGCATTTTGTGCAAATCATTCATGTGAACATACCAGATTCAATTCCAATTGATGTTTATTTCACATTTAATTTAAACTCCTATTCGACCGTGACACTCTTCATGAATAGGTTTTTTTTTCTTTAAGAAAGAATAACAGAATCTTTTTGGGTAAATTAATGATTAATGGGAAAAGGACCGTCTGGCCTTGAGTCAGCCGGAGTATTTGTGTTCTTTCTCCGTCAAATCACCCCATGGAAGAGCTGTGAACATTGCCCATCCACCTGGGACAAATTGGCGGACAATCCCAAGGCAGGGACAATGTACGGGAGATTATTGTCCCTAAATACCCAACTGATGAACATAGAATGAAGCAGCAGAGAAGAGGAATCTCTTGCTTGGATGAGCAGGGAGAATTACTTTTTTCCACCTTCAACTCCGAGAAAAATAAACATCCCTGCGTGTATAAGCCCGAATGTGACGGGGGGCGGCTAGGCTACATGATTGGGTTCGGGGAGAAATTAACGATCGCGACGGCCGGCAAACTGCGACACTGGTCTTGGGTAACTGCGTTTTAATTTCCTCTAAAGTATTTTTAATTGGTGTTTTATTTTCAGTCTTTCAAGGGCGGGGGGAATGACCCGCTGTCTCAGGGCCGGGAGGAAGAATGGAGGTTGACAAAGACAATGTGCAGGCGCGTGCGGAGCATGCTGAGTTAATGAAACGGGGCTGGCCGCTTTAAGAAAACCTGAGACGACTCAACGCGTTTGTTTCTTTAGCGAACGGAGCGCAACGCTTCCGCCTGCTGCGGACAATGCGCCCAGACTCAATAGTCTTTGAGCATCTCTGCCCGTTCTGAGACAATAGCGGTTGCAATAAAGCCGTCCCAGCGGCCATTGTGTGGCCCAGGCCCAAAAACAAATATGCCCACGTAATGAGCTAAATTATAAAAACGATAAGGGCAACCAGTGATCGTTACAATAATTACGATGAGGCGCGGTGTTTGACGGGGGAAAACACAACAAAGCCGCGGGCTTATTTACTCCAGAATTCCCTTTGTTGGGAGATAGATATCAATAATGTGAATCATGATCACATCACGCCCCATCAGACGTGTCTGTCAATTTGTCAACCACTTGTTACGGGTAGGGTTGCTATAGCGCGCGGGCCTCCGCCAATCACAGCCCGGCTTTGCGCGCTACGCGCGCTCGTTATCTCACCGACAGCCAATTACACCGCTCGTTAGTTTGCGGCCGCGCTCCAATGGCGTTGGCCGACACAGAGGGTAAATCAACGCCAACTCTAGTATCGTCTGATCTGACGTGCGTTCAGGGGACCTCCGTGATTTTCAGGGAGTACCTTTTTGAAGGCAAAGCGTGATTAGTTGTTGATCAGTCGGCCAAATGAACGGACTGCGTCTGAATTCACCGGACACCTCTCTGTCGGACATGGAGCGGGTGTTGGACCACGCTGCGGCCATGCACGTGCCAACGGAGTCCATGCTTTCCCACACGGTACTCGGTGGGAAAATGGTCCCGTCACCAGTCAATCACGGTGAGTACATGCATTTCCAACATTTCAAAAAAGTGTGTTTGTTTTTTGCCCAATATCTTATTTTTCGCCCATCGGTGAAATTGGCATCTCATACCGGTAAACTTCTGAGAAAAGTCGGCTTGGCTTGTTAAATTTTCTCTATCTTTCTATTTTTCGCAATAAATTTTGTTAAACTTTTCGGACACAAAATTGATTTTACAAACTATATCAAAAGTCACACTTTCAGTCTTTGCGTTGATGTTGAAGCAAATACTTCTTTCTTTCTTTCTTTTTTAATTTCGAAAATTGAAGCCATTATGACAGTCGACAATTTTAGCCTTTGAACATAATATCAGAGCATCGGAAATGTTACATAAAAACCCAAGTATTTTCCTGGCAATGTTTAACAAAAGGTGTATAATTGTTCACCAGAACCTTATTGTATAATATCACAGAATGCATATTGTTCGAAAAAAAGTTATATAGATTTATTCTGAAAATTTACAATTGCTTTGATTGCTCTGTGATTGTGTATACCATAAAAGCGACGTTTTAAATTAGATAAATGAATGTTTGTTTATAGTACCTGTTAAGCAATGAGGCATAGGAAACGTTTTATTTCCTCTTTTGAGAGAGAGAGAGTCGTTTTATGAATGACGCTTCATAATAGACGCAGGTTCAATTTTAACCACGAGAATATTGTTACAAAATTTAATTTGTCGTCATATTGGGGCGGCGGTGATTATAGAATACGACCCCTGAAAGAAACATTGCTTCATCGGAAAGACAATGGAATTCGGTTAATTTACAGTTTTGTATACCTGATGTCAAGTTAATTGTTACAACTGAATATTGATTTTGTTTTCCTTTTTTATGGCTGTCGTTAAAAGGCACATCGGATCTTTTGAATTTATCCCAAGAAGTAACCTAACGAATTATTATGGAAAAACATACTTGGAGTAAAGATGGTACTGGTACTAAACACCCCGTGAAATTATTCTGCCTGGCTTGCTTTCATTTTAGAAGAAATCAAGAAATGTAGGATAAGTCAATTGGCTGATTTGGGTAAAGTTAAGTGTACCATGGACGAAATCGTTTTTTCTGATGAAAAGGTCGTGCATTTTTTTTACTGTTTTCTCGAAAAGTGCAATATTTACTGAGCTGCAACTTCAACAGGTTAAGTTTTGAACATTCTATTTTGGATTTTGATTAGTGTTATTATTGGAAACGAACAAAATGTCTGAAAAGCAAATGATCCTATATGCCTTTACAGCCGATTAGTCAGCTTTTATTGTGTTGTTGACAATTGTCATAAGATACAATTTGGCTAGATTACGTCCTAATCTCATAATGTTGCATTTAATTCTGAAGTGAGTGCTTCGGCTGTCCCGTCTTCAAATTTCTGGGGAATAAGGGGGTACTATTGGAAAGATGTACTCTTTCATTGCGGAGTAATTTCCTTATTGGTGATTATATAGGAGTTTATCGGTCGCGGATTATTATACCCTGTATAAATTAGCTCTTGAAAGAAATCTTAACAGTGTTATTAATAATCGGCACAATATAATCCCCTTATCGCTTTTGTCGGTTAATTGTAGCAAAAGTTTTACCGCACTTTTGTGAAACTTTTGCCCCAAAGTCACAGAGTCACAAATTGTTTTCAGGGACAGGTGTGCAGAACCAACCGACCCCTCTTGCTCAGAGAAATTGTTTGCACGCCTTCGGTTGAGAACATTTCTGATTTAGGGAATTCATGAATTAAATTTTCTTCTTTGTTTTGCCCATCTTGCAGCGAGCAAGAACGACTGCGATCCCCATCACGGCCGGCCCTTGGACAAACTGTCTTACGGCAGCGGGAACGACGTGAGCAGCACGCCGACCACTACGGGTAGCCCCAACGGCGACGGACAGACCAACCTCGGAGTTTCCGTCAACGACGACGATAAACAGGTAGGAAGCCGAGATGAATGGACGGACGGACAAAATAAACACACAAACGAACAAACGGGGATAAGAAAACCGTGTATGGACGAACAGAAAAACGCAGAGACATTTAAAATGAATCATCATTCATTCCGTGTTTCTCTATTCACGAGGGCTTCAGTTTTGCTTGTGGTCGGAGATTTTGTTTGATCTTTTTGTCTGAGGAATTTGCTCCTTCTGAAATTTGGGTTTGAAAAACTAATTTCAAAATTGAGTGCGACTTGTGTCCAGTTGCATATGTTAGCTTACAATTTAAAATTACGGTAGACTAAGCCTTAATACGCAACGGGACAAAAAATTGAATAAAACCACTTTTGTGCAAAGACAACTACTTCCATCAGGAAACCTTTTCAATTCTCCTTGCTAATGAATTGATCGTGCAAGGGGAAATATAATTCATTTCATAAATTTGTTAGAAAATTAATCTCCTGTTTCTGTCGACTGGGACGTCGCGGGACTGAATCTGTAGGGGGTAATTACATACATTTTGGTTGAAGTAAAAATAGCTCCTGAGATTGCATGCAATATTTTCTTCTAATTACATTCCTAAATATACGCATGCATTATAAGAGAGGAAAATACGTGTATAATCCATTTTTATTTGACCAAGTACAAATGGAATGCAACTCTTCATTAGCACATGACCTCGTGCGCTTCTAGGCCTAGGAGATATGGAATCTTACTTACGCGTTTTATTTTCTGTTTATTTGTAATGTTGATATTGGAAGTCTTTCGGCTTTTGTTCATTTTTTTTGTCCAATGTTTAATGAAATCAAATGGTTAATGACATCTGGTAAGTGACAACTAATCTCAAAATTAAACAGACGTAGTGCACTGAGGCAAACTTGTCTCAGTCAAACAAAATGTACGGAACATACGGATGTCCTGTAAAATTAAGAACCGTGCTCGTCACGGTAAAATTCGAGCAAATATCAAATGAATGCCAAACAAAAATGTCATTCTTTCATGATTCTATCTGGTTAATATAGTGCTTCACAAATTAACTTGCTAAATGAAAGACCTTTATTGTGAGTAATTTTATTGAAGGTTCAAATTAGAAATTTGCCCTTCGTAGATAAACGAATAAAAAAGTGGCTCACACGGTTTGTGTGCGAAATGGGAGGCTGAGAAAGTGAGGTGAGCTGACGGGTACAATGCGACCGAATGTGCTCATCTCGTCCGATTTTCAACTCTGTATTCCCGGTGCATATCCCTCCTCGACAATGTTCTTGGTTTTATCTCTGATTTAAACAGTCTGATTTGATTAACATGAATTTATCAATCAAGAAGGAGTGAAACAAAATGATCAGAGATAATTATAACAATAACAATGATGGATATTTGGTATCGTTGTTATAATTATCATAATCATCATTCACACTATCACCACTATTATTACTAACCCTCATTATCACCAAACGAATCATCCACTTAAAAAAAAACCCTTATTAGACCTGATGAAATTGCTTAAAAGATCAAAAATCCTCGCTCACTTTTTTAATCCATCTCGTGTGTTTACACGAAGGTCAAACAGAAGCGACACCGGACCCGCTTCACGCCTGCGCAGTTGAACGAGCTAGAGCGCAACTTCGCCAAGACGCACTACCCGGACATCTTCATGAGGGAGGAGATTGCCATGCGCGTTGGCCTCACTGAGTCACGTGTGCAGGTAAGCAATCTATTTGACCTTTATATGAATATTCATCAGTCGAAAATCCGAATTCCAGGACTCTTTATACCTGGTATAAATTAGCAGCTTTTTACGTATGTGTACCTTTATTTTCCGCATACGTAGTTTATGTTTATTACGATCCCGATCTTCAAGAAAGGGACTTTTAAAAAAGGCAAGTTAACCCATGGTTGAGGCTGGAAATTTAAAGCAAGAAGAATTAGTTTGAAACTTGGCGTTTGAAGACTTTTAGTTTCATAACAGATGTTTTCTATCATATCGTTGCAATTAACTCTTTACATCAACAATTCTTAAAGGGAATATACAACATTTGCAAACATCAAAAAACAAAACTATCTAATTATTATGAAATACCTTACGGGACTGTAGTGAGTGACAGTCTAAAGCATCCTTTAAAATCATGGGACCTGGTGTGCTGTCATTTTCAAGAAAAGTTGTATTTTTGTATCATTTCATTTTTTTTATCATTTTCATTTTTTTTCAAATACTACCCCCAATTTACCATGTATAGTAAGTCCACATTTTGTTTGCAATCGATTACACACTTATGAACAATTCCCAGACGTCTATAAATTGCTCCGTTTCATCTTAAGTGGGGTCAGGGAACCAGACTACAGGCAGGAACATGATTTTTTTTTCTTGGTTTTTCCAGCATACGCACACAAAACTTCAAACAAGTCAGTGTTACAATATTTGCTATAAAAAACTAACCCCAGATTCCATCCATTGCTGAAAATTACAGCAAATGCAAACGTTGTATGTTGCATTAATGCATTAACCAACCGATAATCTCTGCGATTTTATTTCAAAATATACACTCTTTTTTAGGTCTGTCGTTAAAACAATGCTTCATTAGACAATGTCAAGCGCTTCTTTCCTAAGTTAGGGAAAAGTCCGATGTCGCAGGCCTAGACTGACTAAAAAAACGTCGTGGGTCTCGCGTCCCACCCGAGAAAGGTTGTGATTTTTTTTTCTCTCCAATGCTCTCATTCGGTTACGTCGGTAAAGGGTAAAACTGAATATTAAAGTGAATAGTTTTATAAGCATGAAACAGTGAAATTCTGTGATTTTTCTCTTGTGTATACTTGTGATTTATGATGATTGTTTAGTATGGGCAAGTGCAACTGCAATGCTTCTCCTTGACATTATCATTCATGTTACGACCGAGGCAAGAAGGCGGCCGCCGCGTGTTGCGTGTTGCCAGCGACCGCGGCCGTGTGTCAGGCACTACCGCACTCACCGTCATCCGTCAGTAACATGCCACCACCATTACCGCGGCATTGTTGTCTCGATTTGCCGTTCTGATCTCGACTAATCAGCTGCATAAACGCTCCCAAATGAATCATTCCTGTCCAGCTAAAGACATTTCTGAGGCCTCCAACAAATTATATTAATTTGGGGGTCGACTCGCGGACTTTTTTTAAATTTTATTTTAGCGCACATTGATGAGACACACGATCCGAGCAATGCGACCTTGGTAGAGTGCGTCGCGTGCATCCAAAAACCATTTTTCAATTCTCTGTATTTCCTCAGGAACCTCTGGGGAAGTCGAGTAACGCACAACCAAGCAAAATGAAAGCGACAGATTAAAGAAAATTTGAGCTCTGCTTTGGTAGAACCAATAGTCGGCTTATGCTTTCGAAAATGATGTACTGCGGTGTACATCACAGAGCAATTTAACAAATTAAGGCCTACATTATAAGATTTCTGGCTTGCAACAACAACGCAAATATCTGTAAAGCCCCCCCCCCCCCGCCTATAATTGGTCATACCATGTATATTTGCCGTGCCCTTTTGACCGCAGAAGGAAAATTACAATCGAATTCAGAGAGATCTATTGCGATAGTTTCCTCGCAACGTTTTTTTTTTGTGCAGCATAACGTTCGGCTTACGTTTCAGTTAATTACTTCAGTGCCGCTCGCTCTACAAAATACACCCTTGAAGATGCAACTCGCCCCGCCCCCACCTTTAGTATCACCAGTATGCGAGACAATTAGGAATCTATTCCATATTTTTTTTTTAATTGTAGTGTGTCCATTCCTGTTAATTCCCTTTAGCGAATCCGAGCCCAATTTTGTTTTCTCCCCGAGTTCAGAAAAGATGACTTCGTCATTCGCGATGCTTTCACTAGATATTCTTTTACGTATTGACAATCTGTTCTACTCACTCAACACTCCACTGTGTATATATGCACACCGAATGTCCTAATACACACTGCCACGCTATGTGTGTCATTTTTCCCACCATCATCCCTGACAAGTCGTTATTAAAGTATCAGTCTTCTCCCGGCTCCTCCCCCCCCCCCTTTTTTTCCCCGGCCAAATAGAACGAGCACAAAAGCCCTGGTATTCATAACCGCTTTTAATCATTCCGTGAGCAAAGATCGAAGATTGTAAATCAAATATGATGCCATGATGTCAGCGCATTGTGCCCTGATTTCTTTTATTATTATCATCCTCATCGTCGTCATTATTACATCGCTCTGTACAGCGCGATGGCAGCTCATCCCTCGCCGTGTACACAGGCCCTTTCTTCGGGGACAGATCTTGTAAGCACCACGCGATCGCGGTGCGTGGTGGTGTCGCATTACGGACTTGAGTTGCACAGCAATAAAAGTCATCCGGCTGTCTTGACACGGCTGATCGACCATTATCTTGTCATCGACTCAAGTTTAGAGTACATATCCAGTTTCCGCTATGATATTATATCCGTCGCAGGGCAGAATCCATAGAGTATAAGGATCCATAGGGAGTAGTATGGGCGCTCTCATGTTGCTGCGCGTTCGAAGAGACTGTGGGCAGATCGCGCTGTCGTCCGTGCTGAAGCGATTGGGAAACAATCCATTGAACGATTAAATGCTTTGTTGCATCTATCGAATAGGGAAGGATAAAAGATCAAAGAAACAAAATTTGTACAGATTTTGAATAATTGATTTCGCAGTGACATTTTCCACATCGGATCATTCAAAATGAGCCTCAAAATACATCAAATAAGTGCAGAGACGTTTGGCAATACTCAATGAAGTGAAGATATTATGACCAAACTGCGCAGCCTTTGAATTATAATTGTACAAAATATCCGGGGATCATTCCTCGACGAAGTTCTGCAAGCAATTGAACCCCTTTAAATATTATTCTCAGACAGAATGCTTCACGTTATGCCGTTCTGTTTACTGATTCTAAATTGTATGAATTGGCCATGATCGTTTCATGTGTTTTAATACAGGGTGAGTCAAAAAAAAGCGGAACCCAAAACCCCACAAATTATATTTCATATTTAACAAAATATGTAGCAATAAAAATAATAATGACTGAAAAGCCAATTTCATAAGCTACTTTTAGATGAAAAAGATTACTGAAATTAGTCAATCCGTTCAAAAAAATCACCATTTAAACACAATTACTCTAAAACCTGTCTCGTCCAAAAAAATGCGATTTCAACAATTGTCGTCACAATTGTCTTCAAACATCACCAGCGATGAAATCTTAGTTTAAACGTTAACAATATGCAACAAAGTCCTTTTGAAGGCCCGTCTTTTAAAAAAGTAGATTTTATAAATCATATTGTTTGCCTAACCAGGGTTGTTAATCAAAATATTGTGTGCTACGGTTGGTGACAGTTGTTGAAACAAGTATTCTGTGTCATTTTCTTTGTTGTTCCAAACAGTCAAAACACCCAATAAATTGGGGGTTTTTTTGGACGAGACAGGTTTTAGGGTCATTGCGTTTAAATGGTGATATTCTTTGAACGGATTGAGCAATTTCAGTAGTTTTTTCATCTAAAAGTAGCTCTTGAAATTGGCTTTCCAGTCATTATTATTTTTGGTGCTACACATTTTTTTAAATAGGAAATACATTTTGGGGGGTTTAGGTTCCGCTTTTTTTTTACTCACCCTGTATAATGCAATGCAAAAAACTTTCACTGAAAGCGACATAAGGAGTGCAATCATTACTTGTTTAGCGTCATGCACGCTCATTGACATTTGATTTAAGGAATAAGGGTACATGTATATCACGATATGAAAATGACTATTTCGTGAGAACAAGATACATGGCTGGACTTTTTACGCCACGTCACAGACGCAAGTTTCGCCGACCGGTTAGTTTCAAACTACATGGATGGCGATCAAGACAAAACAAAGAACTAATTTACAAAGTAGACATTATCACGCAACACCAGAAAAAAATTAAAGCACACCACTAAGAAAAAAAAGAAACTACCTCTTTATACAAAATGTGTAAAGGTGCAATTTTTGGTGCTGCAAACCAGGGGTTCATTTATGCGGTTCATTAACCTGATGGTTGCCCGTACAAAATGGCGCTTGGTATTTATAAAATTACAATTATTTTTGTGTGTGTGTAGGTCTGGTTTCAGAACCGCCGTGCCAAGTGGAAGAAGCGCAAGAAGACCACCAATGTGTTCCGGTCACCAGGCTCTCTGCTGCCCTCACACGGCCTACCGCAGTTCCCCTCAGCCATGGGCGGCGAGCCCTTCTGCAATTTCCACAGCAACGTGGACTCCCGCGGCTGGCCTACCTCTATGCAGATGTCCCAGATGGGCGGGTCGTCACCCTCCTTAACCCTCCCGCCCACTTTACCCCGGCAGGGCCTGGGCCAGTCCCTGAGTCACCAGATGGGCGGCATGGGAGGGTCCGGAGGTATCGGACAGTCGGCGGCTTCGAACCTCCAGAATCTCACCGGCGGGCTGTCCGCGATGTCCGGCAACAACCACATGCAGTCCATGTACCAGCCGAGCTTTGGCGGGGTAGGCACGGCGGCCTCCTCGGCCGGCCCGGGCATGCCCAGCTCGCCCACCGGCAACACCAACGCGTCTATGGCCGGGGATTTCTCGTGTTCAGCGGCCACCAGCCCGGACGGCGGGGACATGTGGCGGGGGACTAGCATCGCGTCCTTACGGCGGAGAGCGCTGGAACACACAGCCACAATCAACGGCATTTTCAGATGACTATAATGACTCTTTGATAACTCGCCGTTTGGTTCTTATTTAGAAAAAAGAATAAGACATATTACTTTCTCATAAAACCACAGAGCCCTCTATTGCTGGTTCGTGTGAAGAAAACGGGGTAGAAAACTGTTAGGCTAGGAGTTTATTGTCCATATTTCAGTAAAGAGCTGAACCTCCATATCAAAGGGAAATGATTTTACTGGCGTAGAAATTGTTTTGTACAGAAAAATAATGTAAGGGCAAAAAAGCGTCATTGAAACCAAACGTGTGAAAAAAATTCGAGATAGCAGAGAATTTTCGCCGGCGAAAACCCCCCAAGAAATCTCACAATATTGCCCGTAGCATATCGTAATACCACTTTTTTAAATAGTAATTGGTGTCTGATGGGGATTTCTTTTATATTTTTTTTATCAAAAGATTCATGTTAACTGACTACGCAAACGCGATTGCCAATAGTGCGACCGTATCACCAAAAGCTATAAAATTATGGAGGTGTTGGGTGAGTGACAATCGGGGTAGGCCTTGGCTATTGCGTGATGACGAGTCTGTCCGTATAAGCATCGGTAGCATGGGGGATATAGGCTACATCATACAACAGTATAGCTGTTGTGGTCTCGAGAGAAAACCAAAACACTCTTCATGCTGGGCGTCCTAAGCGATTGTCAAGCTTGCTGGATGTCGGAATGACACAAAGTTATTACAAGGATGGGTCCAAGGGAGTGTAATGTATTTGCACAATGGAAAGTTGGAAACGTCATTCTTGTCAAGTTTTCCCGAATGACGTCGTCACTCAGTTGTGCAAATCTATAGTTATTGCTTCAGGCCTTTGGGGTGTTATGCATTGACTGCAACGCCTCACCCCCACCCCCCCCCCCCCCCCCCCCCCCCCCCCACCCCCAAACAAAAAATCTTGGACTTGTAATCCCAAGCCACCTACCTCTTTGGGAAATCCGGGGTCCTCCAATGTAGGCTACACGGTGGTGCAAAAATAAGGAAACCCACTTTTGACGGGAATTTTAACCTACTTACTTAACTTATTTGAACTGTTATTTTTTTATAATAAAGTAAAGCTCTTCAACCATACGTGGTGAAACAATCTTTAAAAAAAAATCGCAAGAATAGTGTTATTATGCTAGTTTGAATATAAGTCACCAACATCACTGTTGTCCACGTGTAAGCCTAGTGTAGTGATTTTTTGTCTTCAAATCAAGCTCCGGAGCTCAGTCAAGCGGATGGAATAAAGCCGTCCGTGGGCAAACGGGTTTGGCGCATGACATTTTTACTACCATATCTCAGAGACAAAATATGCATTTGCTATCGTTTTTTCGTCACTTATGTTTCAAGATCAATATTTCAATATCATTAAATTGAATTTGTATGCTCAACAAATAGGTAAAAATTGCTGTCAAAGTGGGTTTCCTTCTTTTTGCACCACCCTGTTATATTTTGCAACTGAAAAGTCTATTTCAAAAAAAAATACCGCAAAGGGAAATATTAAACCACAAAGTTGAAGTCTGTGTTAAATTTAGACCGCAAGCGATTCGCCTACATGTAATATTTGGAATAACACAGATTTCCTGGGAGTCAATTTCAGAATTTGGTCCCCTGTGCTTAAGATGAAAAAAATTGTACTAAGATTATCTTGAATTAAAAAACGCGTTTTTTGTTATCAACGAACTAGACCCTGACTGGGCATGTACATAGTACTATCGTCATTATACAGTTTTACTGTTTATCAGTGTGCAATACTTGTATCAACTTATTTTTATTTATGTCAAAGTGGTAGACTTTATAAAAAGGTGTTTTCATTCCGAAATCTGACATCGGCCACAATCGGTCTATGTGTGTGTGATAAAGATTGATCCTGGAATATTAAAACATGGTATTTTAAGATTCTTTGGGTTTTTTTAATGCTGATAATAATACCTGTTGTGTGTAAAGTATAGCTATTAATTTAAGAGCTCGGTAATAATACAAGGATGAATTGATAACTGCACTATAATTCAATTCCGCAAACATTGATCCAAAAGTATGAAAAAATTGGAAAGCCAGCACTTCGTACCGCAACCATAATCTGTTGTATATATACCCTTCCTCGATTTTAACCATTTTTTTGAACGAAAATAATTGGGCCACTTTTCCAGAGACAAATTTACCCATTTTGACCTCCGGACCCAGAACCTGGATACGCCAATGACCTCCTGGAACTGCAAAATAAAAATCACCTTATAATTACCAATTAATTTGGAAAACGACGCACTCTTGAGCAATATGCCCCCTTTAAGTCGCGGCACTGCCTTTTTTTTATCGTTACCTTCGACGAAACCGTAGCCAGCGAATACCCGAAGCCAAAGCGCTCTGCACGGCGCTCGATACCGTCAATGCCACGCTACCTTCCTTTGCAATTAAGGCTTTACCTATTGGCTTATACTCCACAAAATCGACCTGCATCAATATACTGTTTTTCGAGGGAGCTTCATTAGCTCTCTTTTACGACTGATTTCACGGACCCGTTTCACCCATGGAAATAGGAAAGGTGTTATAGCTGTGTGATACACATTATCATATTTAGATGTAAATAATTATTATTGTCCAAATGCATAATGATGATGATGATGTCAGAATAAAGATTTCGTGACAGTACAGATTGAAGCCAAGATGTTTGGTTGTTATGTTTGATAACTTTTTGTAAGTAAAAATACTTGAAGAAACAAAGAAAAGGGTTGCAGTGAATCTTAATTTTAAAGACCTGTCCCTAAGTTAAACTTCCCTTGGGCGCACGGTTCATAATTTGTTTCTCGGGGGCGTTAATTCTGGGGAAATGGGAATAATAATTATCTCCTCATATGCATAGGATCATCATTCCCAGATCATCGACATACATTTGCTTTGATTGAACCCTTCCCCTGCAAAACAAATAGCAACTCAACTGGCACATATTGCTATGTACCTTGTTTATCGTTTGTCATGAGATTTTATTTTGTAAGTGGAATTGGGGGATGGGTTTACATTTCTTGTAGTTCTCTGAATGTTGTCACCAATGATTAATGTGTCATAATTTTCATATAAATTATAAACATGAATCGACAAAAATCTGAAACTAGCATGTACCATTTCGATTAGACTCTTTTTATTTAGTCGTTTTATGTTTGGAGTGTAACAATGCTGTATACGAAAAACCTATTTATTTGGGGGGGGGGGGTTCGGGGAAAATGACAGGGAACTTAAACGCAGTTCTGAGATGGAGGGAGATAATGTGCATTTTGAATCAAACATGCATGCATGCGGTCAACCCACTTCAATTCTCGTCGTGGAATAATGACGGGTAAAGTCTACGGGGAAGGAAAATATTCAAAAGGCCAACAATCCACATGTTTTTTTCTTCAAATACTTCATTTCCAGTCAGTCTTCATGAACTAGAGAAAGCTGTCAACGTTTTTGTTATATTTTTAGAAATTAAGATCATTTGCTTTTTATACAATTTTTTCGTTTTAAAGCATCAACACAAAATCTTATAATAAGTAAGTTGCGTAACATAATATCCGTTGAAATTTTATCTCAGTGGATACTGTACATTTTGAGAAAACAGGCTAACATACGCACATATTTTTAGCCTCGCAATTGAATTCCGTTGCTAAAGCACTCAAAAAAGTGTGTCAGCGAGCAATCTTAAAAAAAAACCACCTATAATGATTGTTTTCTTCCGAATGATGCCATTTCAAGTTGGAATAATTTCACAGGTAAATTGGTTCCATTCCTATCGTCAGTTTGAGCGAGGTTTTTCTCATGGAATTTATGTAGGTCCGTTACCTGGTGATTACACGTGCCTTTAAAGGAAACATGCAGTGGAAATTCAGCTCATCTTGTTTTCATGCACATTGCTATGTGTTGCAACAATACATACAAGACCTTAATACTTGTTTTCATTGGAAGTGACAAGAATGGTAGTTTTTTTCAATTATTAGCAAATCCTTTCATCAATACATGCAAGAGGGCGCTACTTTGCTTTTGTCACACAAGGTACTCCTTGTCAAAAGTGCATATGAACAGTACAAAAGTATGTCCTTCAAAATTACCCACAAAAGAAAGTTTTGAAGAAATATACGCCACTACTATGTCCAGACAAGCTGTTTAACATGATAAACAAGTAAAAAGTGGAACTCACTCCGAGAAAATGAAGAAAAGTTTGATATATATTTGTACACAAAGCTATGGAGACACTACTGTTCGGTCTTGAATGACAGCACGCTTTGGCTCATGAATATGGAAATTTGCACAAGCATAAAACCTAAAATGTTGAAATTTCTCCCTTTTACTGCTACAAAGGAGGTGGAAAGTCATAGTTACATGGCAAGAAAGCTGTTTTAAATGTATTTAGGTCAGAAAAATCCTCAGAAAAATCTTTTCATGGACCTTTTAGGGCCTAAATTATTTGTACATGTACATGTACTATTAAGAAAGACATGAATGCACGAGGGATAGACAAAAATACGATGCAGATGTGGCTTGAAAAAAAAATTGATTTTTTTTTTTTTTTGCAAAATCTCAATTCATAAAAGGGGAATAAAGGAAGTGTGTTTGTTCTTGAGAAGTATAGGTTTGTGCTGACCAAGGTCGTCTGATATCGGAGTAGGGGGAAGCCAGTATTGGGGAAGCCAGTATTGTTGGAGAGTTTCCGTGGTAGACGGAGCATGCCAGCACAGATCGAAGTCGGGCCAGAGCCCTGGCGGATGTGGCCGCAGCTAGGCTGGGGGAGCGCTTGCCGTGAGCCAGCGGCCGCACCGCCTTGACCCACTTCGGTCTACGCCGGCTCTGGTATTTTCTCCACGGATCAGTTGATGAGAGGATCTCCGATGAGAGAATATTACCGTACGCCTGACGTAGCGCCGCTTCACCGTCAATACAGAAAGGAAAACCCCGGTCTATGAATGACAGACTACGATGATTATTCTGCTGCGCCTCCTCCCCCCTCGATGTCTGGTCGATAGAGGCACTTCCAACGACCAATTCATCGATTATGATGAGCGTGATGGTGCGTCTGATGTGTACATATTTTTGTTTTTAAGCGAGCCAAATTGCGGCACAATGGTCATGAAACTCAATATTGTTACTTTAGATGGAACCTTGAGTTGCACCACCGCATCCTCCTCAACAATCCACTGCAATTCCTTTCTCATTAGGCCTACCTTCTTCAATCTTGGTTTAATGTAAGAACAGATGCTCACTACATGGAGAATCGTGGGCTTACTCTTCATATTTTCGTTTTTATAAAATTACTTCCCAAGATGGACTGGTTAAGATATAATTAAAGGGACAGATCCACTTTGGATCAAGAGGGTATAGCTGTGATATGGTGCTGGATGAACACCATTCTATGGAGCAAAGGTGTTGGGGAATCATTCTTCACCAAAAAGGCTGAGTTGTGATAGCGTGAAATCGAGTCACCACCATCATAATCCAGTCGGTCACAAGTCAAATCTCAAGTCAGGTCACGAGTATAACAGCGGATAAACGAGCATAAAGGTACGCCTTCTTCACAATTCATAGCTCATTTACTTGACCTCAACTGGGTTACTTCTGCCAGGAATTGATTACAAAGGTTTGCAATCCAGATGGTTACTCCGGCATTTGCTTTTTAAATAATAATAATAACAAGCATTTATACAGCGCTCTTACACATCAGGTATCACAGCAAAGTAAGCTGCAGAAACAAAGACTCATAATTAGTGAAAGCAGTTAACGATTGAACAAAGAAGTCTTGGGACAGTTTTTGAACCCTTGAAGTGTTTGTGCTCAGCGGATTTCCCTCGAAAGACTGTTCCAAAGACGTTGGGCATGTGCATAGAACCCACGTTTTCCTATCGAAGAATGCA